AACGGCGTTGCCCGGGGGAAAAATGTATTTTAAAAACTTCTGAAACGTCGTGAGAATTATTTTATTGTGTTTTAATTTTATTATTTTATTACTTCCCTTCTACGTGACTTTACCGAAAGAACCAAGAAGATGAATCCCTGCAGTCACGAAAGCTTTAAATCGAAATTTAGTAGCCTGATAACTTTTATCTAAATTGTCTTATGGTTGTTATTGTTAGACTTGCATCCCACTGGGATTTTTGCGCACAGCGTTGATGTACCGTGTTTTTTCAGGAAGATTTTGCTGTTTTTTCCTGGATGTTTCTGTCGCGCGTCGTCACTTTAAGATGTTCTTTGTTCATGTTTTTGTTTGTTGCGGTTGCACCTGAGTCAAGAGCCGTATAAAAAGGCACTAAATAAATGTTAACTACAATTAAATACATGTTTCTGTTTGTCTTCTTGCGTATGGCACTTTTGGAGAGTTAAATGTCAATGCCCAGGTCTGCTGGCAACGAAAGGGCTTCAGGAGAGAGCTTATGCAAGTCCTGTTATTCCGACATTGAAGAGACGGAGACCACACTGACTCATTATGTGGTCCATCGTTTGGGTTCACAGTTCCATTGCTTATTTAGCATTACAGTTTTTATTCTCCTAGACACGTTAAATTCATACACAAATACTTTTTACGTACATTAAACTTTTTGTATTTGTGTATGTAATATATATGTACTACCACACTCGGTATGTACTGTTGTCATCACAGCAGGTACCACCACACTCGGTATGTACTTCTGTCATCATAGGTACCAACACAGTATGCATTGCTGTAGTGATAGCAGGTACCAACAGTCAGTATGCACTGCTGTAATAGCAGGTACCACCAGTCACTATGCACTGCTGTCATCATAGCAGGTACCAACACAGCAGTATGCACTGCTGTAATCATAGCAGGTACCAACACAGCAGTATGCACTGCTGTAGTGATAGCAGGTACCACCTCAGTCGGTATACACTGCTGTAGTGATAGTAGATACTGCTATCGAGTTGGTAGATACCGCTATAGTAAATACTAAAACAGTCAGTATATACCACTACAGTCAGTCAATACTGCTACAGTCAGTATATACTACCATACAGTCAGTATATACTACTATACAGTCAGTACATACTGCTACGGTGAGTAGCTACTAGAGTCAGTAGATACTATTATAGAGTGAGTAGATACTGCTATAGAGTTAGTAGTTACTACTATAGTCAGTGGATACTACTATAGAGTCAGCAGATACTATATAGTTAGTCGTTACTACTATATAGTCGGTAGATACTACTGTAGGCCCAGTAAATACTACTATGGTCAGTAGTTATTACAGTCACTAAATACTACTACACAGTCAGTAGCTACTACTGGCTCAGTAGAAACTACGGTACAGTCAGTAGATACTACTACGGAGTCAATAGATACCTCCTCTGTTGTATGTAAGGTGTTGTTAGTATATATACCTACGAGGGGTAAAGATATTTTTTGAGGGGGGTTCCACAATTTTCGGAAACATTTTGACATCAACTATTTACCCCACACTTTCTACAACTTTTTGGACATGTGCAAGCCTCATATATTTGTTGGTGGAGAAATGTACAAACAGCCCACCGGGCTTTGACGATACCTTCATATCTGTGTGTATATATGTAAGGTTTTTAAGAAATATATTTTTCACCCGGGCAACGCCGGGTACTTCCGCTAGTAAGACTATACATTGTAATATTAGACTACGTATTATTCTACCCACCCTACTGTATACCGCACTGCTGTATATTCACTATACAATTACGATACTGTATATTTCCTTATACAGTGATACCTCGGTTCACGAACTTAATTCGTGAACGGACTCTGGTCGCGATCCGAATTGGTCGTGAACCGAGGCACATTTTTTCCATAGGGTTCAATGTAAAACCGGTTAATCCGTTGACATTTTTTTTTGTTTTTGAAGCACAAAAATATGATACAAATTACAATACACATTAGTACTGTACAGTATAGTAATGTATAAAGAGAGAACACTAACCTTGCTTGAGATGACTTCAGTAAGCACTCAAACGGGTGAACTGTACAATACAGTAAGTACAGTATTGTACAGTACAGTAGTACAGTACAGTACTGTATGTGCTAAAAAGCACACCAAAAAGCAAAAAGTCACTGAAAGTATCTTCACAGTACTCGCAGTACTTCTTTCTGTGTCTCTTCTTCTCTCCACGATCTTCCTACAGGAAGTCACGACCACGTGACAGCCTGGAAACAGCATTAAAATGGCCGCGGCTCCTGTTCGTGAACCGAGTTGTTCGTGAACAGAAGCAAAGTTCGTGAACCGGAGCATATTTTTAATGAACTTTTCTGTTCGTGAACCGAGTTGTTCGTGAACAGAAGCGGAGTTCGTGAACCGGAGCATATTTTTATGAACTTTTCTGTTCGTGAACCGAGTTGTTCGTGAACAGAAGCGGAGTTCGTGAACCGGAGCATATTTTTATGAACTTTTCTGTTCGTGAACCGAGTTGTTCGTGAACAGAAGCGTTCGTGAACTGGAGCATATTTTTATGAACTTTTCTGTTCGTGAACCGAGTTGTTCGTGAACAGAAGCGGAGTTCGTGAACCGGAGCGTATTTTTTTATGAACTTTTCTGTTCGTGAACCGAGTTGTTCGTGAACAGAAGCGGAGTTCGTGAACCGGAGCATATTTTTTTATGAACTTTTCTGTTCGTGAACCGAGTTGTTTGTGAACAGAAGCGGAGTTCGTGAACTGGAGCATCTTTTTTAATGAACTTTTCTGTTCGTGAACCGAGTTGTTCGTGAACAGAAGCGGAGTTCGTGAACCGGAGCATATTTTTTTATGAACTTTTCTGTTCGTGAACCGAGTTGTTCGTGAACAGAAGCGGAGTTCGTGAACCGAGGTATCACTGTCCACTATATTAAACATTACACTTTTATACCTACTCTTATATTGTGACGGGGGTCACCTCACCTGGAAGCCGTCCTTGCCCATTGGCTGCTGGAGACTTCGAAAGTGCGCCAGATGCCCCGTGATGGCAGCCGCGGCCGCCTGCTGCTGCTGTTCCTGCTGCTGATGCTGCTGCTGCTGTTCCTGCTGCTGATGCTGCTGCTGCTGCTGATGCTGCTGATGCAGCCCAAAGCGGCCGGCCGATGCAACGGCATCAGCGGCGCCCGCCGAAGAGAAGGGATCGGCGAACGCCAGCGGAGCCCCGGCAGAAGCCGCGTCGGCGCTAGCCAGCGGGTACGAATGCCGGTGAGCCACCGCACCTCGGCTTTGCTGCTGCTGCTGCTGTTGCTGCTGCTGTTGTTGCTGTTGTTGTTGCTGTTGTTGTTGCTGATGATGGTGTGCATTATGCTGAGCCAGCAGATGCTGCTGTTGCTGTTGTTGTTGCTGCTGCTGTTGATGGAGGTGGAGGTGGTGGTGGTGAAGCTGGTGCTGGCCGGGGACAACAAAACCAGCGTAGGCCCTCGCGTCAAACGCCGCTCGGCTCCTGTCCGAGCGCGGCTCTGCCGAACGGCCGGCCTGCTTCCTCCTCTTCGACGAGGACGACGACGACGAGGTGGTGGTGGACGTGGTGGACGACGAGGTGGACGACAGCTGCCGCTTTCCGCTCTCAGCCGCGCCGGCACCGCCGCCGCCGCCAGCCCTGGACCTCCCGGTGCCAAGATCTTGGCTCATGGACGAGGCCGCGGGAACGGCTGAGAACGAGACGCAGCTCAAGTCGCAGTGCTGCTGCGGCTGCTGCTGCGGCTGCTGCTGCTGCTGCTGCTGTTGCTGCTGCTGCTGCGGCTGCTGCTGCGGCTGCTGCTGCGGCTGCATCTGTTGCTTCCGTGGCACAGCGAGCGCCTGCTGCTGCTGCAGTTGCAGCTGATGATGCGAGATGCCCTGCTGCAATCCCTGCCGCGTTGACAGCTGCTGCTGCAACTGCTGCAGTGCTTGCTGCGTCTGCTGCTGCTGTTCCGCCTGCTGCTGCTGCTGCTGGGGCAAGCCCGGCAGGCGCCCCATGACGGCGCCTGCCGGGCTAGCGCCGGCGCCAAGAGGGTTCTCCCCCGACGGCTTCGGGCCCGGCTCGGGCGCCGCGTGACGGATCGGCAGGGTGCAGGCGGCCGCCGGCTGTTGCAGCAGCAGCAGGGACGACCTCATGCCGCCGCCGCCACCGGCGCCGCCGCCGCCGCTGGTCTGCACGCCGGCGGGCAGCTCGGGCGCCATCCGGTCGCTGAAAACCGCGCCGGCGCTCCCCAGCAGACTCCCCAGGCTCTCCGCTGCGCTTCTGCCGGTGCCGCCGACGCCGCTGCCGCCGCCTGGCGCTCCCCGCGAGGCTGTTGACGCCGCTCGGGTTGCTCCCACGGGCGCTACCAACGCCGAAGCCGCTGCCGCCGCCGGCGCCGCCGACCAAGTGAGACATTCTGGTGCCGAGGCCGCCGCAGTCGCCCGGCCCGCCGGAGCCGCTGGAGCCGCCGGAGACGCCGAAACCGCCGCCGCTCCCGTTGCCGAAGCCGCTCCCGGCCGCATTCCCTGACGCCGAAGTTGGCTCCGACCAAGTGGCCGACGCCGCCGGCGCCGCCGAGGCTCGTGCCCCTGGCCAGACGCCCGCCGCTTGCGCCTCCGCCGAGGTTGCTCCCGCCGCTGCCGCCGCCAACGCCGAGGCCGCTTGCGCCGCCGCCGGCGCCGCTTCCGACCAAATGCTTTATGCTGCCGAGGCTGTTTGAAGCGGCGCCGCCGGCGCCAAATACGCTCCCGCCGGCGCCTCGACTGCCGAGGCCGCCTGCGACGGCGCTCCCGGGACCGCCGAGACCGGCGCTTCCCACCAAGTGGCCGACGCCGCTCGGCACGCCTCCGCCGGCGCCGCCGAGGCTGAAGATGCTGTCGCCGGCGCTGCGGCAGCTGCCGAGGCTGAAGATGCTGTCGCCGGCGCTGCGGCGGCTGCCGAGGCCGGTGCTTCCCATCGGGTGGCCGACGCCGCTCGGCACGCCGGCGCCGGCGCTGCCGAGGCCGCTTACGCCGCTGCTGCCGACAAAGTGGCCGATGCTGACGAGGCCGCTGGCATTTCCGCTTTCGACAAAGCGGCCGCCCCCGACGCCGCCGCTGACGCCGCCGCTGACGACGCCGCTGACGACGCCGGCGCCGCTGCTGCCGGAGTTGCTTCCCCTGGCGCTGCCGGCAAGGCCGACGCCTCCCACGAAATGACCACCGCCGCCGCCGCCCGTGGCGCCGCCCGCGTCTCCCGACGTCGCCCCCCAGCAGCGAACGGCGCCCACCGTCGTCGACGGACTCCCGGCGCAACCCTCCACCGCGGACAGCGCCGCGCCGTCCTCGCAGCCAGCGCCACCGGCGCCATCGCCGTGCCCGCCACCGCCGACGACACAACCGCCACCGGCACCGCCGTGCCCGCCACCACCGACGACACAACCACCGGTGTCCGTCGGCGGTGCCGGGCACGGCGGTGGCGCCGCCGTGGCCCGGCTGTGCCTGCCCACGGCGGGCGTCGCCGATGTCCTCGCTCTCCTGGCTCTCCTCCCCACTCTGCCGGTGCCCTGGCGTCACCGCCGCCTGCAGCTGCTGCTGCTGCTGCTGGTGATGATGGCGTAGCTGCTGCTGCTGCTGCTGTTGCTGCTGCTGTTGTTGTTGTTGTGAGTGACGGTGGTAGTGGAGGTGGTGGTGGTGGTGGTGGCCGTTGCCGAGCGACGACGCAGGGGGCCAGCGAGCGTCCGGCGTCGGGGCTCGGTCGGCGCCGTCGCCGGGCGCCGGAGACGACGACGACGACGACGACGAGGAGGTGGAGGATGATGACAGCGACGATGAGGACGACGCGACCGTGAGCAGCGACGCCACCGAGAATCCGTGCGTGCCGGAACTCGGCGCGGTGCCGGTGCCGGTGCCGGCGGTGTCGTCGGGCGGCTGGACGGTGGCCAACGTCAGCGCCGCGCGGCGGGCGACAGAGGGAGGCGGAGGAGCGGGGGCCGGACGAGGGGGAGCAGCAGCAGGAAGGGGAGCAGAGGGAGCAGCAGCAGGAGCAGCAACAGCAGCAGGTGGAGCAGCAGCAACAGCAGCAGGAGCAGTAGCAGGAGGAGGTGGAGCAGCAGCAACAGTAGCAGGGAGCGCAACAACAGCAGCTGGAGGAGGGGAAGCAGCAACAACAGCAGCTGGAGCAGCAGCAGCAGGAGCAGCAGCAACAGCAGCAGCAGGAGCAGCAACAGAGGCAGCAGCAGCAGCAGCAACAGAGGCAGCAGCAGCAACAGCAGCAGCAGGAGCAGCAACAGAGGCAGCAGCAGCAACAGCAGCAGCAGCAGCAGCAACAGAGGCAGCAGCAGGAGCAGCAACAGAGGCAGCAGCAGCAACAGCAGCAGCAGGAGCAGCAACAGAGGCAGCAGCAGCAACAGCAGCAGCAGGAGCAGCAACAGAGGCAGCAGCAGGAACAGCAGCAGGTGGAGCAGCAGCAGGAGCAGCAACAGCAGCAGGTGGAGCAGCAGCAACAGCAGCAGGAGCAGTAGCAGGAGGAAGTGGAGCAGCAGCAACAGCAGCAGGGAGCGCAACAACAGCAGCTGGAGGAGGAGAAGCAGCAACAACAGCAGCTGGAGCAGCAACAACAGCAGCAGCAGCAGGAGCAGCAACAGCAGCAGCAGCAGGAGCAGCAGCAGGAGCAGGAGCAGCAGCAGCAGCAGCAGCAGGCGGAGAGCAGGGGGCGTAGGGAACGAAGGGCGCGGAAAGAGCGGCGGAAGGTGATGACGAGGAGGAGGTGAGAGGGGGAGGGGAGCGAACGCCCGCGGGGGAGGGGGCGGAAGGCGACGAGGTGGGGGGGGGGATGAGAGGCGCCGGGGGGGTCGCAGGTGAAGATCGGGGGGGGAGGAGTGAAGCAGAGGGAGGCGGGAGAGGTGACGACGAAGAGGAGGAGGAGGAGGTAACAGGAGGAGGGGAAGAGGAGAGGAGAGATGAAGGGACGGCTGGAGAAGAGGGTTGGTGGCTAGGCAGAGGACGGGGGGCAGGGGGTGAAAGATCGGCCCCAGGGGTCACGGCAGCGGACAGAGTCGCGGTGGGGGTCGAGGCGAGAACGGGGGAGAGCGTGGCAGACGTGGGGAGAGACGTGGGGAGGGACGTGGGGGGAGACACGGGGAGAGACACGGGGAGAGATGTGGGGGGAGACGCGGGGAGAGATGTGGGGGGAGATGTGGGGGGAGATGTGGGGAGAGACGCGGGGAGAGATGTGGGGGGAGACGTGGGGGGAGATTTGGGGAGAGATGTGGGGGGAGATGTGGGGAGAGACGTGGGGGGAAACGTGGGGGGAGACACGGGGCGCAGCGTGGCAGAAGTGGGGGGAGATGCGGGGAGAGACGTGGGGGCGGGAGGCATGGGAGCCAGAGGTGGTGGAGCCATAGATGGAGGGGCCAGAGACGGAAGGGCCAGAGACGGAGGAGTCGGTGATGGAGGAGCGAGAGACGGAGGAGCCAGAGACGGAGGAGCCAGAGACGGAGGAGCCAGAGGTGGAGGAGCCAGAGACGGAGGAGCCAGAGACGGAGGAGTTGATGATGGAGGAGCCAGAGACGGAGGAGCCAGAGGTGGAGGGGCCAGAGACGGAGGGGCCAGAGGTGGAGGAGTCGGTGAAGGAGGAAGATCGAGGGAAGATGGATGAGTCACCACACCACTCGAGGCAGAGTGAGGCGACGCTTCTGCCGTCATCGCCGCTGGCGCCGGTGGTGCCGTCACCGTCACCGGTTCCGGTACCGCCGCCACAGCCGGCGCCGCCGCCGGCACCGACAAATCGCCACCTCCGCCAGACGGAGGAGCGCCCGCCGCCGGCGCCCTTCCCAGCCCGGCAGCAGCCACGGACGACTGCCTCCACGGCTCTCTCCGGCACGCCGCTCCTCTCTCCGCTCTCCCCGCCGGCGGCGCCGTCGTCGGTGGCGGTGGGAGGGGGGCCCCTTCTGCGCCCGCGCTTCTGCTTGGGCGCCGACTCCCTCCTCCCGCGCATCTTCCTCTTCCTGCCCAGCAGCGCCCGCACAGTCTTGAGGGCAGCGCCGCCGCCGGCGCCGGCACCGGCGTCGCGGACGTGCGACGGCACCGGCGCCGCCGCCGGGCGGATCGGCGCCCCCTCCGAGATGCTGCGGTTGAGGCAGGCGATGGCGCTGAGCGCCGCGCTGGCGCCCGTGACGGCGCCGGAGTCGGACCCCGGTTCGGGCCGAAGGATCTGCATGCGGGCGGCGTGCCCCTCGGCGAAGGAGAGCGACGAGGAGGAGGAGGAAGAGGAGGGGGAGAGGAACGACGACGACGACGAACAAGGAGGGGAGGAGGAGGAGGCTGCGGGCGAGGGGCTGAGCGGCTGGATGTTGAACAGCTGCCCGTTCACCAGCACCGTCTGGGACGCCACACCCGGCACGGGGGCCGCCCGCTGCCTCGGCGCGGCGGCGGCGGCGACGACATTGGCGACGTTGGCGGGGGAGACGGGGGGCGGTCGTGGCAGGATGTTCACGAGCGGGCGCCCGCCTCCCTTGCAGCAGCCCGAGTTACCGGCGGCGGGCGTCCTGCCCGCCGCCGCGCCGAGTCTCGGCCCGCCGATGTGTCCGGTGCGGGACGACGTTCCCCTCCTCTGCGGCTGCTGGACGACGAGCAGCGGCGTTTGCTGCGCTCCGGTGACGCCCGTCGCCCCGCCCCGCCGCTGCTGCTGCCGCCGCCGCTGCTGCCGCTGCTGCGCGGCGGTGACGCTCCGGGCCGACGTCCCCGCGATCAGAGCGGCCGCAGGCGGCGGCGGCACGCCGACCGACGCGGCGACCCGAGGGGCCGTCGGCGGCGAACTTCCGGGCGGCGGGACCGGCGCCGGAGCCTCCGACGGAGCTCGCGGCGAAACCAAACCGGCGGCCGGCAACTCGCCGGGCGCCCGCGAGGGAGGGGGACTCTCCGGAGTCTCCGGCGGGTTCCCGGCGTCGCCGGCGCCGCGGGCGGCCGGCGGCGAGGGAACCGGCGGCGGGGACGGCGAGAGCGACGACGCCGCCGCCGGTGGGTCAGGCTGCACGGCAACGTCCGGCCCCCGCGCGTCCGCGGCGCCGGGGCTCCCCGTCGCCGCGGCGACCGCGGCGGCTCCGTCGTGGCGGCCATTGTCCGTCCCGTTCGACGCGACGGGCTCGCGAACGTCGAGCTCACCGGGGGGCGCCACGGGACTTTGTGTCTCTGTTCCAGGACTCTGTGTCTGGACCACGGGACTCTGCGTCTGGGTTCCAGGACTTTGCGTCTGGACCACAGGACTCTGCGTCTGTGTTCCAGGACTCCGCGTCTGCACCGCGCCCATCACCTCCAGCGTCCCGCAAGCCGCCACCGCCGCCACCGCCGCCGAGCCGTGCGCGCCGCCGTGGGGGCCGTGGCCGCGAGCCCCGGGGTAAACGATCAGCGCTTGCGGCGGCTGCGGCACCAACACCGGCACCGCCGCCCCCCGTGCCGTTGCCACGAGCGCGGCGACTCCCGGCGTCGCGGGCGGCGCCCGCCGGACCCGGGCCTTGCCCTTCCAGTGCACGGTGGGGTCGTCGAAGAGGCAGATGTCGTTGGCCCTGAGGAGCTGCGCGAAACGGTCGTTCTCCTGGCGCAGCACCTCCAGCTGCGAACGCAGGCGGCGGATTTCCTCCACTGCGGGGCGGGGAGAGGGAGGGGGGGGGTGGGGGAGGGGGAGGGGGGGGTGGCGGAGGGGGGGGGGTGGGGAGAGGGAGGGGGGGGTGGGGGAGAGGGAGGGGGGGGTGGGGGGAGGGGGGGGTGGGGGAGAGGGAGGGGGGGTGGGGGAGAGGGGGGGGGGTGGGGGAGAGGGAGGGGGGTGGGGGAGGAGGAGGGGGGGTGGGGGAGAAGGAGGGGGGTGGGGGAGAGGGGAGGGGGGTGGGGGGAGAGGGAGGGGGGAGAGGGAGGGGGGTGGGGGAGAGGGAGGGGGGGTGGGGGAGAGGGGGGGGGGAGAGGGAGGGGGGGGTGGGGGAGAGGGAGGGGGGGTGGGGGAGAGGGAGGGGGGGTGGGGGAGAGGGAGGGGGGAGAGGGAGGGGGGGTGGGGGAGAGGGGGGGGGGTGGGGGAGAGGGGAGGGGGGTGGGGGAGAGGGAGGGGGGAGAGGGAGGGGGGGTGGTGAGTGTGGGCTGGTGAGTGTGGCCTGGTGAGTGTGGCCTGGTGAGTGTGGGCTGGTGAGTGTGGCCTGGTGAGCGTGGGCTGGTGAGCGTGGGCTGGTGAGTGTGGCCTGGTGAGTGTGGGCTGGTGAGTGTGGCCTGTTGAGTGTGGGCTGGTGAGTGTGGGCTGGTGAGCGTGGGCTGGTGAGTGTGGCCTGGTGAGCGTGGGCTGGTGAGCGTGGGCTGGTGAGTGTGGGCTGGTGAGTGTGCCTGGTGAGTGTGGGCTGGTGAGCGTGGGCCGGTGAGTGTGGGCTGGTGAGTGTGGCCTGGTGAGTGTGGGCTGGTGAGTGTGGCCTGGTGAGCGTGGGCTGGTGAGCGTGGGCTGGTGAGTGTGGCCTGGTGAGTGTGGGCTGGTGAGTGTGGCCTGTTGAGTGTGGGCTGGTGAGTGTGGGCTGGTGAGCGTGGGCTGGTGAGTGTGGCCTGGTGAGCGTGGGCTGGTGAGCGTGGGCTGGTGAGTGTGGGCTGGTGAGTGTGGGCTGGTGAGTGTGGGCTGGTGAGCGTGGGCCGGTGAGTGTGGGCTGGTGAGCGTGGCCTGGTGAGCGTGGGCTGGTGAGTGTGGGCTGGTGAGCGTGGGCCGGTGAGCGTGGGCTGGTGAGCGTGGGCTGGTGAGTGTGGGCTGGTGAGCGTGGGCTGGTGAGTGTGGGCTGGTGAGTGTGGGCTGGTGAGTGTGGGCTGGTGAGTGTGGGCTGGTGAGCGTGGGCTGGTGAGTGTGGGCTGGTGAGTGTGGGCTGGTGAGTGTGGGCTGGTGAGTGTGGGCTGGTGAGTGTGGGCTGGTGAGTGTGGGCTGGTGAGTGTGGGCTGGTGAGTGTGGGCTGGTGAGCGTGGGCTGGTGAGTGTGGGCTGGTGAGTGTGGCCTGGTGAGTGTGGGCTGGTGAGTGTGGGCTGGTGAGTGTGGGCTGGTGAGCGAGTGACAGTGGTGAGTGTGGGCTGGTGAGCGTGGGCTGGTGAGCGAGTGACAGTGGTGAGTGTGGGCTGGTGAGCGTGGGCTGGTGAGTGTGGGCTGGTGAGACGGCAACATTTGCTCACCCTGCTCTGGTGTGCCGCTGTTCAGCAGCAGCTGCTCATTCCTCTTCCTCAGCTCCGTGATGTAAATCGACGCTTGCTCCAGAATCATGTTCTTGCTCTGGGGCCATTGGGAGGGGGGTGGGGGGGAGGGGAGGGGAAACACCGGTGAAGCGTGGTGAAGCGTGGAGAAGCGTGATGAAGCGTGGTGAAGCGTGGTGAAGCGTGGAGAAGCGAGGAGAAGCGAGAATCGGGACGTTCGCCTATCTGCGACGCTGGACTGGGGCTACGCACTTTCAAACCGACATTGCTGTACAAGTGCGTGTTGCGTTTAGCTTGCTTTCCTACACCCCGCGCCTTCCGATTAGCGCGGTTGGCTACGTAAATAAGTTCATAGAGACCCACGGACATCCAGACCCACACAGACCCATAGAGACCCATAGAACCCCAAAGAGATCCATAGAGACCCACAGGGACCCATAGACCCCCACAGAGATCCAGATACCCACACAGACACCCATAGAGACCCATAGAGCCCCACAGAGACCCATAGAGCCCCACAGGGACCCATAGAGACCCACAGAGACCCATAGAGACCCACAGAGACCCATAGGGACACAGAGACCCACAGGGACCCATAGAGACCCACAGGGATCCAGAGCCCCACAAAGTTCCATAAAACCCCAAAGAGACCCATAGAGACCCACAGAGACCCATAGAGACCCACAGAGACCCACAGAAACCCACAGAGACCCAGGGAGACCCATAGAGACCCACACAGACCATAGAGACCCATAGACACATAAAGACCCACAGAGACACCTATAGAGACCCATAGACCCACAGAGATCCATAGACCCACAGAGGCCCACAGAGACCCACAGAGACCACAGAGACCCACAGAGACCCATAGAGACCCACACAGACCCATAGAGCCCCACAGACCCACAGAGACCCATACACCCACAGAGACCCATAGAGCCCCACACAGACCCATAGACCCACAGAGACACCCACAGAGAAACCCATAGAGACCCATAGACCCACAGAGACACCCATAGAGACCCATAGCACGAGTGACTACTACAATGCGAAGCAAGTTGAACGTACACGCACGTGCGTACGTGCATGTACGTACGCGCGTGACTCTACCTGCTTGAGTGCGGCCGAGCACGGCAGCAGGTCTCCGATCTTGTTGATGCCGTAGTTGATCTTTTTCTTCCGATGTCGCTCCACTGGTGCGGCCGCATGGGGAAGGGGGCACAGCACAGGGCGGGCGGGCAGGTGCACCTCGCTAGGCCGCTGGGCTCACGTTGTGATGACGCTGGTGGTGATGGTGCTGATGGTAATTGTGTTGGTGGTGGTGACGATGATAACGATGATGGTGGTGATGACGGTGGTGGTGGTGATAGTGCTGGTGATGGTGCTGATGGTAATGATGATGATGCTGATGGTAATAATGTTGGTGGTGGTGTTGGTGGTGGTGATGGTGCTGATGGTAATGACGGTGGTAATGGTGATGGTGCTGATGGTAATGACGGTGGCAGCAGTCGTGATGGTACTGATGGTAATGATGTTGGTGGCGGTGATGATGGTGCTGATGGTAATGATGTTGGTGGTGGTGATAACGATGATGCTGATGGTGGTGACGGTTATGATGTCAGTGACCATGATGAAAGTGGTGGTGATGACGGTGGTGGTGATGATTGTGGTGGTGACAATGATGATGGTGGTGAAGGTGGTGATGGTGGTGATGATGATGGAGGTGTGATGGTGGTGGTGGTAATGATGATGATGATAATGGCGGTGATGATGATGGTGGAGGTGTGATGGTGGTGGTAATGATGATGATGGCGGTGATGATGATGATGATGGTGGTGGTGGTAATGATGATGATGGCGGTGATGATGATGGTAGTCGTGGGTCGTCGTAATCATCGTCAGCCTTGGCGATCATCGCCCACCCATCAACGTCATCGTCGACTCAAGAAAACACGAAACGTGCGCTTGTGTCTTACCTGCATTGTGCGACTCCCTGTTCTTCATCCTGTGGGCAGAGACACGGGAGGGAACGCCACAAGATCGCAACGTTTACTTAGACACACGAGGTCAGCGAGTTACAAGACACAAAAAAAACACGGAGTGCGTGAGCAAGCAATTGGGGAGATGCACCTTTGTGTTCGCCACTAAAGTCCATCAGCCTGCGGGCCTTGTGCACGTAGGTACGTGGAACTTCTCGACTCGCGCCCTACTACTCTAGCAGACCGTGCTAATCAGAGGTGCCGGGGGAAGGACAATAAACTGAACACAAAAAGCAATTCCAAAGAAATGGGTTTTGAAACGAGATGATTAAAAAGCTCACAGCACCCAGTGGCTTCATCATCTCGCAAGCAGAGGTCGCAACCGGGTACCCGATACCCGTACCCTACCCGATACACGGCTACCCGTACCCGGCCGGGTACGGGTACGGGTACCCGTTTGCGACCCTGGTGCGGCCGGGTACGGGTACGGGTAGGCCGTGAGTCACTGGTGAGTCATCGTTTGTCACTCATTTCCCAACGTCTTGTCTCTTCTCACAATTCAAATTCCTAGAATCAACCCACCCGCGCCTGCAACGTGGCTTCATCCCAGAGGTCGCAATCAGGTACCCGATACCCGTACCGTACCCAGCCGGGTACGGCTGGGTACGGGTAGGGTACGGCCAGGTATGGGTACGGGTACCCGTTTGCGACCCTGGTGCGGCCGGGTACGAGTAAGGAATCAAAACCCGTTTGCGACCTCTGCTCTGAATGCAAAGAGCGATGACGATGCGGTAACCAACGTCTCTGTTCGACGGCCGAGCCAATAGCCGCCGCCGCTACCGCTGACACCGTCGCCGCCGCTGCTACTGCTGACACCGCCACCGCTGCTACCGTTGACACCGCTGCTGCTACTGCTACCGCTGACACCGCCACCGCTGCTGCTGCTACTGCTACCGTTGACACCGCCACCGCTGCTACTGCTACTGCTGACGCCGCTGCTACTGCTACTGCTGACGCCGCCACCGCTGCTACCGTTGACACCGCTGCTGCTACTGCTACTGCTGACACCGCCGCCGCCGCTGCTGCTACTGCTACCGTTGACACCGCCACCGCTGCTACTGCTACTGCTGACGCCGCCGCCGCTGCTACTGCTGACGCCGCCGCCGCTGCTACTGCTACTGCTGACACCGCCGCCGCTGCTGCTACTCCTACCGCTGACACCGCCGTCGCTGCTGCTACTGCTACCGCTGACACCGCCGCCGCTGCTGCTACTGCTACCGCTGACACCGCTGCTACTGCTACTGCTCACACCGCCACCGCTGCTGCTACTGCTGACACCGCCGCCGCTGCTGCTGCTACTGCTGACACCGCCGCCGCTGCTGCTGCTGCTACCGCTGACACCGCCGCTGCTGCTACTGCTACCGCTGACACCGCCGCCGCTGCTACTGCTACTGCGAGGATGACCGGAGTTCGCGTGGCGATGGCGGTTGTGGTTGTCCGTGCCCCTTGACTAAATCGTCGAGGTGTCGCCTGCCTCATCCGTGGCGATCGCTTTGCTCCGTCTAACGGACCGACGACGACGGGGGAACGAACTTACCTCGGCGATCCCGGGACCGGTTCCGGCATCATTATCTCCGAGATTCCGCGCCGCGCGTCTTTCAGCCCGGGAGCTCCACGCCTCGCCCGTCACCTGGCGGAGCTGTGGGGGACAGGGGCCGTGAACGCGGCGTCTGCGCCAGGCTAGGTGCACTTTGAGGATGCCGAGGTGAGTGGTGACTGGCCTGGCCTTGCAGGGAAGGGATTAGTCGGTAAGGATTTGGTGAATACACTGGCACGGGATAAATATGCAGCTTTGCCAACGTGGCAATTGTATCGGTTGGTGGAGGATTCGGTGCTTTTGAGTATACCCATTTGAAGGGGCGCTTTAAAAAATTACTGGAGGTGATTGTGATTGTTGATTACAAGATTCTGGCAGAAAAATGACGACGCTGCCTTACCCAGAAACAAATATGGGTCATTGTTGTGGCTACAAAAGCACACCGTGTCTACCCATGTAGTTGACCCGTATTCTTGTACAGGGAAATCGAGTGTTCAGATCCATATGGCGTACAGCCGTTTCAATGCGGGCAAAACATTTTTTGTATTCTAAGGTTTTCGGTAAAGTCACGTAGGTAAAAAAGTAAAATTTATAAAAGTAAAATAAAAATATTTTTATTTTTTATTAATTTAAATTTTTAATAAAAGTAAAATAAAAGAAAAATATTTTACTTTTATTCATTTAAATTTCTTAATAAAAGTAAAATAAATACTTTTTTATTTTACTTTTATTAATTTTTTTTACCTACGTGACTTTACCGAAAACCTTAGAATATGAATCCTTGCAGTCACGAAAGCGTCAAATCTAGAACATTTTTTGTGTCTATTTGTTTGTGTTTCTCCCTTTTGATGGAACTTCGTAGGATGAATGAAACACTCCAGGCTTGGAGCGTATATTCATTCAGACGCTGTCTTCCCGACAGACCTGGTCTTCACCTGAGGACGGCTGCTTGCGTTGTGGCCGAAACGTCGTGAGAATTGTATTTTATTATGTTTTATTATTTTATTATTTCCCTTCTACGTGACTTTACCGAAAGAACCAAGAAGATGAATCCCTGCAGTCACGAAAGAAGCTTTAAATCGAAAAGGGCTATACCTAATCAATGAACTGAATCTAAACTGAAATGCAAAATGATATTTAAATGCACGGGGCCGGCCGTATCAGCGGTGGCGCAGTGGTGAGCGCGATTGTGCCCCTCTCTCTCTGTGAACGACAGTCAGCCAAGACCCCCCCGAGTTTCATTCCAGACCCACACGGCTAACGTCAGTGGCGGGCAAAGAAAACAAACCCACACACACCCCGAATCGGTTCTTGGGTCTCCTCCTCCTCCACCGCCGCTGTCGCGTAACAAGTATAACCCGTAAAAACAAAGTTTTTCACTATAAATCCTTTATATGCGTGGCGGCTAGAGTCCTCTCGTCCTCTGGCTTGAGATGGCTGCCACCTATGGGTCAGATGATTGTTGTGCCAGTATTAAGCAATTGGTAATTAAGTATTTAATTTGTTTTCCCTAAAAAGTGTAAAATTTTGGGAAAATTTTTTTCACGACCATTAATTGTCACGCACAACGAGTCTGTGTGGAAAATGTCAGCTCGATTGGATCACGGGAAGTGGGTTAAAAAACGACCGAAAGATTTGCACGGTCGTAAGCAAGCAAGCAAGCGAACTTAATATAAAGGATTTAAAAAAGCTTCACAGACCCCCCGCAGTGACCAGCGGGGTAAAGTATGGTCGGAAATAACCCCCGCGGTACATGACGTTGAGCCTTTTAAAACCCAGCACTGATAAGAGTGGACAATGTGTCTGTATGTGTACATGTGTGGCTGTGTGTGCCTGTGTGTGTACATGTGTGTGCCTGTGTGTGTACGTGTGTGTACATGTGTGTGCCTGTGTGTGTACATGTGTGTGTGTGTACGTGTGTGTGGCTGTATGTGCGTGTGTGTACGTGTGTGCGTGCGTGTGTGGCTGTGTGTGCGTGTGTGTACGTGTGTGTGCCTGTGTGTGTGTACGTGTGTGTGCCTGTGTGTGTACGTGTGTGTGTGTACATGTGTGTGTGTGTACATGTGTGTGTGTGTGTACGTGTGTGTGGCTGTGTGTGCGTGTGGCTGTGTGTGCTGTGTGCTGTGTGTGTGTGTACGTGTGTGTGTACATGTGTGTGTGTGTACATGTGTGTGTGTGTGTACGTGTGTGTGGCTGTGTGTGTGTGTGGCTGTGTGTACGTGTGTGTGTGGCTGTGTGTGTACGTGTGTGTACATGTGTGTACCTGTCTGTGTGCCTGTTTGTGTGTACGTGTGTGTGTGCCTGTGTGTGTGTACGTGTGTGTCTCTTTGTTTTTGAACAAGTGTGTGTGTGCACGTGTGCGTACATGTGTGTACCTGTCTGTGTGTCTGTGTGTGTGCACGTGTGTGCACGTGTGTGTACATGTGTCTGTGTGTGTGGGGAGCGGTGGTGTAGCGGTTAGCGCTACGCTGCGCTACGAACCTGGCGACCCGAGTTTGACTCCCGCTCACGGCCAACACCGGTGACGATTATCCCAACCAGTCCTGGGCCTACCCTAGGTAGACTCAGCCTCAAATGAGTACCTGGTGTAGCGGTGTGTAGTAAACGTCGCCACTAGGGAGACAAAGGCGGCCGGGCGTGGTGCTGGCCACCCACCCCTCGTGTGCCGTGCCGGCTTTCAATAGGTGCTCGCTAACAGCACTTGCCCCTACAGCCTGTTGAGGTTATACGGGCGGGGGGGGGGGGTCTTTGTCTGTGTGTCCCCTCGGCCAGAGCTGGCAATTCCACGATCCCATGACGGGCGCATGTAGACTCCACACTATGCACAGAGTTGGACCTCGACATGACAAGGATGTGTCTGTACAATGTGCCAGTACAACGTTACAATATAATGCTACAATGTGCCAGTACAATGTTACAATATAATGTTACAGTACAATGTTACAACGATCAACGTTACGTTTTTAACGAGGTTTGGATTTCGCGGCCTAGTGACAACCCGAAACCAGAAGCCTCGGCACCCACCGCTCTTGCCTGACCTCCCTACCCAGCTCCCTCGCCTCGGGCCCCGCGGGAGGCCGCTTAGGCGAGCCCCTAGGCTTCGGCCTACTCGCTGCGGGAGGGGAGCGCGAAACGAGACATTTTAAAACACTTTAAGACCGCGATAAAAATTCGATCTTACTCCGTCAGCGTCTTCATGGTCACAGCAGTCGCGCCGCGGTAGCAGATTTTGTTTTTGTTGCTAATTATATTTTATTCACTTTAACAAAAAAATATATAAAATAATCACCAATGTAAATACACTTTGCTGCGGCCCTATAGGCCAGGACGAGTCAGACCGGACCAATGGATCGTCGATCCGGTCGAATGGGGGGAGTCAATGCAATCGCTCACCATCGATTCACCCTTCCGCGTATCAATTGCTCTGGTCTGTTACTAAGGGCGTTGCTAGGGGTCGTGGGAGTGGGGGGGCGGTGTGGAACCACGTGGCTTCAGCAAGAAAAATCATGAATTTGCATGGAACCTCTGTCCTCTACTTTGGGGGCGGCCATAAATGACGTCATGCACCTAGGGTCGGTGGAGGGGGGGTCAGATATTTGTGACGATGTGTGACGAGGGGGGGGGGGTTGAGAAATATGACGTCACATCAAAATGAGCAACTTTAAATAACTATAGACAACACGTTCTACTTAATTAAATAGACTTTGTAATAAATGTTTTCTCCTACAACATCAGAGTGCAGCGCCACATTAAATACGCACTACAATGACAATAGTTTAAGGCGATTTGAAGCGTGTTTTATTTTTAAAAAAAAATGTTCGGCGTCTTTTATTTCGACAATAAAACCCAGAACCTGGGAAACTCCCAAAGTAAACATTTTTAACGTCTTTTTATTTTGACAATAAAACTCAGAACAGGGGAAACTCCCAAAGTCACGAATACATTATAGTAGTAGGTTTTTACCCTTTCAACTAGTACAAAACTGACACCTTTATACAAGGCATCATGTTTGCAATAACCACAACACAAGCAGTGAAAATACAAACAAAAAGAAACAACTCTGATAATGTATGCACTGTCCTTGAAGTTGATTGGTCCACACCCGAGACAGCTTTCCTTAAAGCCTAGTCTCCATTGGTGTTGGACCAGATGACGCCAAAAGGCATACAACTCAAAGACAGCGCACTATCAGAGTATTGAGAGCTCGGGGATAAGCATTTACACTATGAGACCTCCTTTACCAGTGGCAAAATATAGTGATAGGGATTTACCCTTTCAACTAGTACAAAACTGACACCTTTATACAAGGGACAGTGCATATCATTATCAGAGTTGTGTCTTTTTGTTTGCATTTTGACTGCTTGTGTTGTGGTTATTGCAAACATGATGCCTTGTATAAAGGTGTCAGTTTTATACCAGTTGAAAGGGTAATAAGTATAACCCGTAAAAACAAAGTTTTTCACTATAAATCCTTTATATGCGTGGCAGCGAACTTAATATAAAGGATTAAAAAATATATTCGCCTGTGGAGGACGCGGGGATCGATCCCGCGACCTTTGGCATGGGAAGCGAGGGCGCTACCAACTGCGCTACTCCGCCACGGCCTGTGGAGGGGTTACGCTCTGGGCTCTTATACTGTGACGTTCAACCAAAGCCAAGAATGAGTTCTTTTGAATATATGTAAAATATTTTTTTTGCCTAAAAAGTGTAAAATTTTGGGAATTTTTTTTCACGAACATTAATTGTCTGTGTGGAAAATGTCAGCTCGATTGGATCACGGGAAGTGGGTTAAAAAACGACCGAAAAATTTGCATGGTCCTAAGCAAGCAAGCACGCAAGCAAGCAAGCAAGCATGCGAACTTAATATAAAGGATTTAAAAACCTACTCCGACCGAAGCTTGCGTTGTGGCCGAAACGTCGTAAGAATTGTATTTTATAATGTTTTCTTTGTATTATTTTATTATTTCCCTTCTACGTGACTTTACCGAAATAACCAAGAAGATGGAAGTGAAACATCTTTGAATTGTATTGTGTTTTGAATCAGATAATTGTATTTCTTTATTAAAAGCTTACATCATTTTACATCTGCAAGACTTCATCGAAAACGGCATTTCGTGTGAATTTCCTCTCGTCGTTAGGTAGACGGCCTTGCCGGGGGCTTCGTTTCGACGCGGACTTTCACCTGGTTGGGATTGCGGGATCGAGAGAAGGCGACACGGAGCTGCTGGTCGTTCGAGAAGACCGCCATCCGCAGATCGATTGCAACGTAATCAAACGTCTGTCCCTGCGCCTCCGTCGTCCATGCAGGGGGCGTGTTGGTTTGCAGCGCCCCCTGCATGAAAACGACAGAAAGTGCAGCGTTCATCACGGATAAAGTTGTGCGCTTATCTCCATGTATATAAAAGGCTAAGTTGTGAGTATGTGTGTCTGTTCAAAATGTTTAGCGTACTTCCCGACATGCAACAAACTAGAAATTTTCCAAGCGGGTACTTTCCAGACTGTACACCATGCACAAATTATAAAAAATACACGTTTGTTTTTTTTAGGGGGGGGGGAGCTCAAAAATGCATTTATTTTTTTGCACAGCAAGTGAGCTGTGACGTCACATCTGTCACGTGACCCGCGCACGTGGAAGCGTAACGAATTGTAGTGAAGCGGTTAGCGCTACGCTGCGCTACGAACCCGGCGATTATTTATTTTAACCGCTCCTGGGCCTCCCCTAGGTCGACTCAGCCTCAAACGAGTAACTGGTGCGGTGTGTGAACATCGCCACTGGGGAGACAAAGGCGGCCGGGTGTGGTGAATCCAAGTCCCGGGCGAAGCCAAGTAGTACAGCTAGTATCTATATATATAAAAGGGAAACTTGCGATCATAAGAGTATATCTTCTAGTGTAATAAACCCACTCTGGACGATACCGTATTCTCTTGTCTTGATTCGTTCTTCCTTTACACAGCTCTCTCACATCGCTGGGCTCCTTTTCCCCGTTACTCCCGTTACTCGAGCGTGGCGTTCGCTCGCTTTTCTCGCTCCCTCACACCGCTGACTCACGGCGTTGGGAGACAGTCTCCGGCCTGCCACGTGACCGCCGGCTAACGGTGTTGGGAGAAGCCTCCGGCCTGCCACGTGGCCGCTGGCTAACGGCGTTGGGAGACAGCCTCCGGCCTGCCACGTGGCCGCTGGCTAACGGCATTGGGAGACAGCCTCCGGCCTGCCACGTGGCCGCCGGCTAACGGTGTTGGGAGACAACCTCCGGCCTGCCACGTGGCCGCTGGCTAACGGTGTTGGGAGACAGCCTCCGGCCTGCCACGTGACCGCCGGCTAACGGCGTTGGGAGACAGCCTCCGGCCTGCCACGTGGCCGCCGGCTAACGGCGTTGGGAGACAGCCTCCGGCCTGCCACGTGGCCGCTGGCTAACGGTGTTGGGAGACAGCCTCCGGCCTGCCACGTGACCGCCGGCTAACGGCGTTGGGAGACAGCCTCCGGCCTGCCACGTGGCCGCCGGCTAACGGCGTTGGGAGACAGCCTCCGGCCTGCCACGTGGCCGCTGGCTAACGGCGTTGGGAGACAGCCTCCGGCCTGCCACGTGGCCGCTGGCTCACGGCGTTCGGGAGACAGCCTCCGGCCTGCCACGTGACCGCTGACTCACGGCGTCGGGAGACAGCCTCCGGCCTGTCACGTGGCCGCTGGCGTGCCGGAGGCACAGACGTGGTTCAAGTTCAAGTTCATTTATTAGGTATAGCCCTGTGAGCCATTCGGCTCTTGAATCGGGTGCAACCGCAACAAACAAAAACATGAACAAAAAACATCTTAAAGTGAATATGTGACTGAGTGCAAACAGAAAATCCAAGAAAAGACAGCAAAATATTGCAGAAAAAAACACCGTACACCAACGCTGTGTGCAAAAATCCCAGTGGGATGCAAGTCTCCTAGAAGCTCTTCACACTGACCCGGAGCCGTCTCTCTCCACCCCTTATATCACCTGGCTCACGTGATGCCACGCACCCAATCATCAGCCTCTCCCCTGGAACCTTCTAGATGTTTCTATACAGCCCCAGGGCCACGCCCTTGGCTCGACGTCCCATTGGCTGCGTGCTGAGGCCGGCAGAGCCAATCACCATCGCCCAGTTACCCCCGGGGTGCATCATCATATTACACTACTACTACACCGCCATCAACTTTCATGAACGACCGGGTGTTTAAGTTTAGCGCTTTGTCGGACTGTCTGGCTGTTTAACAAGTGAAAAAATACAATCACTTTACTGTGCAAGTAAAAAAAAGGAGTGTTTTGATTCACTATGAGACCTCCTTTACCAGTGGCAAAATATAGTAATAGGTTTTTACCCTTTCAACTGGTACAATCATCAGAGTTGTTTCTTTTTGTTTGCATTTTGACTGCTTGTGTTGTGGTTATTGCAAACATGATGCCTTGTATTTTTCGATTTAAAGCTGCCGTGACTGCAGGGATTCATCTTCTTGGTTCTTTCGGTAAAGTCACGTAGAATGGACAGCGTCTGAATGGACGTCTCCCCGACAGACCTGGTCTTCACCTGAGGACGGCTACTTGCGTTGTGGCTGAAACGTCGTGAGAATTATTTTATTGTTTTATTTTATTATTTCCATTCTACGTGACTTTACCGAAAGAACCAAGAAGATGATGCCTTGTATAAAGGTGTCAGTTTTTGTACCAGTTGAAAGGGTAAAACCCTATTACTACGAGTGTTTTGGTATTGATTTATTTATGTATGGCCCCTTTAGAACAACATCTGCTCCAGACCCCCACACTAGCTTCATGCGGCACTGGTTGTTATCATACAGGGTGGCTAAAAGTCACCACGACACACCACCGCTCCCCACGACCACGCAGAGACACACACAGAGACACCGAAATATAGAAGCAGGGATCTTAAGCGCCACTCTTGAAATCATCAGCCGCAGGGGGGGGAGGGAGGGTCGTGACATGAAAAAAAACGCTCGTTTGTGTGGCCCTCCAGAGCCAGACGAAATAATTTAATCGCTCCGTTGTTAATTACAAGTCGTTTAGTTACATCAACCATAAATACGTCGGGTGCGGAGTGCGCTGTGTACAACGCGTGGCGTCACCCGAGGCTCGGGCTCACCGCACATCACGACAGCACCGTCGTGCGAGCGCGACTCTAACGGGCGGCGTATGACGTGCGTTGACGCGTGTGCGCGCACGCGATAGTGACGTGTGCGATTGTGACGTGTGCGATTGTGAAAGGTGTGCGCCCGATTGCGGCGTGTGCGATTGCGACGTGTCAGCCATATTGTGAAGTGTGATTGTGACGCGGGTGTGCAATTGTGACGTGTGC